TATATGTATATATATGGCTTTTTTTTGTTTTGTTTTTATAAAGCTCAAAATTGTCTTTCATTTGAGATGCTTGACAAACATGTCTGAATAGAACCGTTTTTTTTTTTTGTTTGTTTGTTTTGATGAATATAGTCCATGTTTACTCTTGGTAGATTCATATTTGAAAAAACTTTTTTTTTACATGATACATAATACTTTTTTTTTTCTCGCTGGCTCTCTAATGAGGCGCACGCATTTCTTCCCGCTTCCTGTTCTCCTCCTGCGTTTTTGCTCTCTGTCTGTGTATCAGAGTAGCTCCAATTTTTACACATCTTCCAAAATAAAAACTATTGTTTTGGAGCTGACCAACTGGACTTTCGACGCAAATGACAAAATCTTTTCAACAAAGTGACAGAGTCCTGGAGAAGCCTCATCTGTTCGGACGACATGCATGCAGCTGGTGGTGATATGTCGACCTCTGCTATCGATCACGGACGCCAAAATTGCATATAATTGGACTTATGATAAATGGTTTCCTGTTTTTGGAATAGTATGGATCCTGGTTTAACAACGTACAAAAAAGACGGCCGCAGCTAATCTGGCCCTTGTCAGACTGCTGTCTATGTGAAGGTTTGGTTTGTGCTTGGAGGACTCAAAATCAGCTGATTTATGAGCAAAACCGTAAGTTGGAAGTGATTTGAATCGCAGGCCACCTGCAGCTTTGAGACTCGTCAGCATGAAAATGACCTTGAAGAGGCTCGTAAGCACAGACCAGTAGAATGCACACGAATCTGTCCATTTTGGACCTTGGGAGTATCAATACAGACTCAAACGCTGACAAGGAAAAAATAGTCTACCTAAACAAGTCAACCATTGTGGTTTATCTGAAACTGACTCCCCGGTTGGCCTCGAAACAGGCCGACTTATCAATTTCTCCTGGGAAATGTGTAAACTAAGGAAAAGCTTTGTCTATCGCAACCCCCCCCCACCCCCCACCCCCCTTCGGTGGAGGCTTATCAGAACTGTGCCGGCTGACCATCATCTCATCTTATCAGGACAATGGACTATCTGTTAGTGTTTCATGGACTGCCTCATTGTCAAATCCATATGTAACATGTTCATAATTGTGCTTGCTGGCAGACTTTTTTGATATCTTAAATAAAAAATAAAAAATAAAAAAAAATTTGTGTCCTGTTAGGACAAGGTATGAAAAGACCTTTTTTGTAATGCCATTATCCTTTCCTCACTGCTTTGTCCCTTTTTCTATCTAAAAAATGTATTCTGAAAAGGATAAGAGGCTGCGCTTTATAGCAGCATCTACGTGCACTCCGCCCATCTTCAGGACGACTGTACGGACATTTTCTCGTTATATCTCAGTGCAATGATAATAAAGCTTGTTCTGATTCTGATTCTGAAAAAAGCTATCCATCAAATAATGGGCTATATTTAATTTGATGCAACATTTTCAATTAATTCTGTATGCTCAGCATTTCATTTTTAATTAGATTTTTTAACTCCTAGTAATGTCATGATAGTATGGACAACATACCAAAGCCACATCCTAATAATTCACTTTTTTTTTTTTCTGCTCAGGGGTTGATTACATGACCTAACTGAAGAAAACACAGCCAAAACTTGAAAAGAATTTTATGATCTGTAGGGTCAACACACACCTTAAAAATGTTTTGTGCAACATATTCAAGACAAGGAATCAAAACAGCTTATTTTTTCAGTTTTTCTTTCATGCTCAAAGGCAGGATGGTACAGTACTTCGCATAAAGAGAAGAAATATTTAGGTCACTGTAAAGATAAAAGCAAAAAAATGGTTGAGAATATCATTTTGTAGTTTCTCAGAAAACAATGGGTAATTTCAAAATAATAAAATCAAGAGAAGAATGTAAAAATGCAACAACAATCTTCTAAGATACAATCATCACAACCCAGCCAACGGTCATATCCTGTTCACTGAACGCCACACATGAATGGCAGGAACAGATGACGTACACGGAAATGTGAAAGCAATCACCATTTATAGTTCCTCTGTGGCTTTGGGGGATTAGTGAAGGTTAGCCATGTGTCAGCATCATGAAAAAGAATTAGCAATGATGCGTTTAAAAAAAATAAAAATACAAAGAACAGTTGCATTTGTTACACAGTGTACTCCCTTCTTTGTCCATATTTTTTCTTATTGTCATTCCAGTCTTTATGATTACTCCACCTGACAGACTGCTAACCAACACTAATGTAGTTTGAAACGCTCACCTTGTGCTCATATATTCATGTAACACATAATTTTAAAAGTATATTTTCTCTGTTTAGTGTCATGAATTCTTCATCCTAAATAGATTTTGTATTCACCTGTGCATGCTTGTTTTTATGCAAGAAAGTGTTGTTTCTACAAACAAAAATTTTACATTCTGACTTTTACAGTCAGTATACTTCCTACCTGAGCCATCTGATTCATATGATAGTATGTGTTTTTTTTCTTTTAGGTCTTGCCTGCATATTTGTTCTGAAGTCATAATGTATGACTGATCTAGTTACTCTATATGTTCTACCTCACTAGCTGTGTAGCATCTGTGGTCATACAGCAGAAACTGTGGCCTTGGCCATTTGGAAAACAACTTATCCATTAAAGGTGACATGTTTGGCAAAGTCATTGACCACAGGGCTCTGAGTAACAGCCTGTCTTTTATCATTTGCAGCTTCACAGCCTCACACCCTCACTGTGCAGAAGAAGCCATACAGTATGTCTAAAGAGCCAGGAGCTAACAGGAAGCCATTCTTTAGAACATTACGACATGCAGGTCTTGTGTGCTTTGTTGGAGTCTTTTGGCAGCAACAGACTTTATGTGAAAGAATTTTGAAAGAAATTATTTATATGTAAGCAACTTCAGGTCTAACATACTGTATCCATCCATCCATTATCTTTATCCACTTCTTCCTTTTAGAGTCACTGGGGTCAATGGTGCCCATGTCCAGCCATCACTGCGCGAGAGGAGGGGGACACCCTAAACAGGTCTCCAGTCCATCACAGGGACACATAGAGACAAACAAGATAAACAACCATTCACTCACACCTAGGGATAATTTAGAGTCACCAATCAGCCTAACATGCATGTTTTTGATCTGTGGGAGGAAACCAGAGTACCTGGAGAAAAACCCGCACATGCATGGAGAGAATAACCAAGCTCCAACCAGAAAGGCCCCCAGCTGGGGTTCGATCCAGTGACCTTCTTGCTAAGAGTCAACAGCTCTACCAACTGAGCTACCATGCCGTGTTGCCCAACATACTGTATTATTCATGAAAATGTATCATTTCCTATCAAATATAGTCCTCATCATACTCAACAGATAAGGAAGTTTTACTAACAAACAAATTAAGGGAATTGTTTTATTCTTCTAACGAGGCAAATATATATTGAAAATCATAAAATATTTACAAAATTGGTAGATTTAAAAACACATATAAGTCTTAAAAAGGACAAAATGTTATATAAACATCAGGAATATATTGTGGTCTCAAATTTCTTGGTCTATTCTTAACCAAAAATAAATTGTAATTCATGATTATTGCATTGGAGGCCTTGCCATACCTATCCACACACAACCATTTTCAGAATCAGTATCGGTCACGGGAAAAACACTTGTGATATTTTACTGATTTATTTTCATACCTATGGAACAGCCTAAAGAAGAAATGGGAAGTCCAGAAAGAAAAGTCTTCTATTTGTTTCATTTGAATTAATACTTTTAACTTTTTTTTTTTTTGCTTGAATAAAAATTGTTGACTTGTACAATTTAAAAAAAAATACACATCAAATGTGATATGTTCGGGGTCAAGATTGTATAGGGCATATCAGCAGCATATTTAGGCATCTGTTAAATATCAGGATAGAAGAAATGAAATGCCTACCATTCCTTGAAGTAATGCATATCACCCACTGTCTGCCTATAACAAAGATTATCTAATAGTTCTCAGCTACTGGCACACTAAATTCAAATATGATATATCTATAATGGACTGAATTATAGCTGTTTAGTGTTTTCAAAGGTCAGTTGGCTTTGGTGGATGGCACGGTAGCTCAGTTGGTAGAGCTGCCGCTTCTCAGCAAGAAAGTCAACGGATCAAATCCCAGCTGGGGGCCTTTCTGGGTGGAGTTTGCATGTTCTCTCCGTGCATGTGTGGGTTTTCTCCGGGTGCTCTGGTTACCTCCCACAGAACAAAAACATGCATGTTAGCATGATTGTAACTCTAAATTAACTCCAGGTGTGAGTGAGAGATGTTGTTTGTCTCTACGTGTCCCTGTGATGGACTGGAGACCTGTCCAGAGTGTCCCTCGCCTCTCGCACATTGACTGCTGGACATGGGCACCAGTGACCCCTGTGACCCTAAATGGAGGAAGAGGGTAAAAGTTAATAGTTGGATGGAGTTGACTTTGATGAACATCTTGAATTAGATTAGCTTTAAAAGTTAAGCAGCTGTACAAGTCCATCTAATGATAAAGTTCCAATAAAATACATCCAGTGGTTCATGAGACATTTCACTAACAGATGAACAGTTAACTCACATTAGTTTATATGAAGATTTTAAGCAAAGATCTTTCCCAAGCTATTAAATGTTGAGGATCAATCACAGCTACTACCACACCAAATTTGAGTTCAATATCTGTTAAATTGACTAACTTATTGTCATTCTTGTGTTCTTAAGGTCAGATGGATTTGGATTGGAAGCCATCTTAAATGAGGTTCAAGAAGTTAACAGGTTGTAGATGTACATACAGCGATTACTTCTTTCAAGTTTCATTAAAATCTGTCCAGTGGTTTATGAGGTATTTTGACAACAGACAGACAGACAAACACAGACATAAAGAATTAATAATTTGTTTGTTTTTGCCTTTCAGTGACATGTGGAAAAAATGGTAATAATAAAGTAAAGTAAAAAAGATGGTATAAGTAAAACATTAAATGTTTGCAAATCAGTCTTCCATTGCCTCTGAAGACAAACCTTAGATTTATTCCATAATGGCAGCTATACTCAGTAATCCATTACTTTTATAACATTATATAAACGGCTTCTCTAAAACTCATTATTCTTATTTACTCTCTTTCTCTTGTTCTTTATTTTTCTATACATATTTCAAAATTTCACCCTAGATCGTTTCTGCACTGCCAACATTTAGTTCATTTTAACTTTCTTTTCTGTCTGTCATCACAACACTACCATATTTTTTCTTTATTATTGCTTGCCTGCCTGATATTTCCCATATTTTCCCCTTTGTGTTTCTTTTATCGCTCACCATTGTATACCCATGCAAGCCAGAGGCAAACAGCATGCTCGCTGAGATAAAAGGTGGCTGCGTTCTCCTTTTGCGCCATGCCAGTCATAATGAAATGAGCACAGCCACTCTGGGAAACAGAGCTGAGGACTATCCTCTTCAATCACCTCTAAGCCCTTTCGTGTTATACCTAAAATGAAGGATTGCGACTACTGTGGAGGCAAGCCACAGCCTGTCTGCTGTAGATTAGCCTCTTCACACACACACACACACACACACACACATACATACACACTCAATTACTGTACATGCAGGTGTCACGTTCATGGGGAAAAAAAAATATCATTTGCTAAGACAGGAAGCTTTGAGTACCTGTCTGGTTTCATAAGATGTAAAGGGAGTCTTGAAAACATCCCACTAAGGCAGATGACTAAAAAATAATTAAAGTGGCTCCCTGAGACTCTGAAAAATGAAGAAGCATCCAAGCAGAGACTTCTTCCTAACTAAGTATGCTGAGAATGTGGATGAGAGTGAAGATGAAGGAGTAGAGACAAGAGATAGGGACAGAAAAGGAGAATAACGAGAGACATGTTGTACCATTGCACACTGTTCTGAATGTCAAGAACAGCTTTTGACATGAAACTGACAAATGAATTCCACCTCACGTACTGAACACAACCAAAGCAACATGCTGACATCCAACATTACCAGATGGGCTCAATAAATCATGCGCCGCTCTCACCTCAACCGTCAGGAAGCATCTTATAGTCGTTTCATTCAGGTCATGTTTCCCCTCAGTGACTCTGCTCTCCACAGCTTTTAAAAACTGTCCAAATTATTAGGTAGTAAATTTCAGCTCTCTGTCACTAACCCATAATTGGTGCTCCTTGATGGCTAAATTCATTATTTTGTTATAACTGGCTGCACAGAGAAAATGATGAAAGGTTGTACAAGGAGGTGCGTCTGTGCTGTGTATGATCTGTTCGGTTTTCTTTTCTCCTTTGGGTTCTGACCAATGATTATTTATAAATGAAGTGTTGCCTTTGACTCTGCATGATATTTCAAACTCTTCTGCCTCTCAGCGAGCAGGTTGCCCCGGTTCAAATCCTGGTCCGGAGGCCTTTTTGGCATGTTCTCGCTGTGCATGCGTGGGTTTTCTCTGGGGACTCCGGTTTCCTCCCACAGACCAAAAACATGCATGTTAGGCTGATTGGTAACTCTAACTAGGTGTGAGTGAGAGAGTGAATGGTTGTTTGTCTCATTTGTCTCTATGTGTCCCTGTGATGGACTTGCAGCTTGTCCAGGGTGCCCCCTGCCTCTTACACAGTGATGACTGACATGAGCACCAGTGACCCCTGCGACCCAAAAAGGAAGAAGTGGGTAAAGAGTTTCCAGATCAGTGGCCTCAGGATTCTATCTCTGCTCTTTGCGGATGATGTTGTCCTGTTGGCCTCATCGTGCCGTGATCTTCAGCTCACACTGGAGCGGTTCACTGCTGCGTTTGAAGTGGCTGGGATGAGAATCAGCACCTCCAAATCTGAGGCCATGGTCCTCAGTCAGAAAAAGGTAGATTGCTCTCTTGAGGTTGAGAGTGAGGTTTGGCCTCAAGTGGAGGAGTTTAAGTATCTCTGGGCTTTGTTCACAATTGAAGGAAGAATGGAGCATGAGATTCACAGATGGATTGATGCAGTATCTGCAGTATTGCGGACTCTCTACCAGTCCATTATGGTGAAGCGAGAGCTGAGCTGTAAGGCAAAGCTCTCTGTTGACCAGTCAGTCTACACCTATTGTCATAAGCTCTGAGTAGTGACCTAAAGAATGAGATTGCAGATACAAGCGGTTGAAATGAGTTTCCTCTACATTGAGAGGAGCCAGTTGAGATGGTTCAGGCATCTGGTAAGGATTCTCCCTGGGCACCTTGCTTCGGGCATATCCAACTGGGACCCCAGGGAAACCCAAGACATGCTGGAGAGACTTTGTCTCTCGGTTGGCCTGGTAATGCCTTGGGCTCCTTTCAGAAGAACTGGAAGAGGTGATGTGGAAAGAGATGCCTGAGCCTCCCTGATCAAGCTGCTGCCCCTGTGACCCAACTTCGGAACAAGCGGAAGATGATGGATGGATGGATGGATGGATGGATGGATGGATGGATGGATGGATGGATGGATGGATGGATGGATGGATGGATGGATG